AAAAAAAAAAAAAAAAAAAAAAAATGAAAGGGGCCAGGCATGGTGGCTCACAACTGTAATCCTAGCACTTTGGGAGGGAGAGGAAGGAGGATTGATTGAGCCCAGGAGTTTGAGACCAGCCTGGGTAACAGCAAGACCTTGTCTCTGGAGAAAAAGAAAAAAAGGAAAGGGAGAAGGAAAACGTGCACAGTAGTTTGAATACTATTCCTGTCTGCCAACTGGCTTTTCTTTTCTTTTCTTTGAACGGTACACACCCTTCCTGAAGGTGCTGTCTTCTGCCTGGCTGATTTTTCCTTCCATCTTCTTCCTTTCCATACATCTTTCTCATCTCTACTTGATGTATGTACCACCTCAGAGAAACCTATCATGTCACCCACCTCTCTTTCCCAATGTAAATCTGCTTCCCTACTGATAATCTATCTTAATTCCCTATATTTTTCATAACACTTAACAGTTTGAAACAGTTCTTTCTTTTTTTTTCTTTTTTTTCTTTTTTTTGAGTCAAGGTCTCCCTATGTCATGCAAGCTGTAGTGCAATGGCACAATCACAGCTCGCTGCAATCTCCAACTCTTTGGCTCAGATGATCTTTCTGCCTCAGACTCCCAAGAAGCTGAGACTATAGGCATATGCCACCATGCCTGGCTAATTTTTTTTATTTTTTATTTTTTGTAGAGATAAAGTCTTGCTATGTTGCCCAGGCTGCTCTCAAACTCCTAGGCTCAAGCAATTCTCCCACCTTGGTCTCCTAAAGCGCTAGGATTAGGGTGTAAGTCATGGCACCCAGGCCAACAGTTGTTTGTTTCTAAGATTCTACAAGGATGGAGGTCAAGTATTTTTATTCTTTCCTATCATACCAACACACTGTTGTCTCACTAGCACTATAGTATACGTGCTCAATAAATATTTGTTGAACAAATTAACAACTTTTACATATGTGTAAAATATACTGGAAATACATTTTACTCATCATGACACACATGCACACATATAAAATTGAAATGAAAAAAAAATCAAAAAATTAGCCGGGTGTTGTGGCATGCACCTGTAGTCCCAGTTACTCAGGAGGCTGAAGCAGAAGGATCATCATGCCACTGCACTATAGCCTGGATGACAGAGTGAGACCCCGACTCAAATAATAATAATAATAATAGTAATAGCAATAATAATAATAAATATATATACGAGAACTTGTCAGCAAATATACTAATATTTGCAGAAGATTTCCTAGTAACAAGAATCACTAATTTAATTTCACAATCTGGCAGAAAGTTTGATAAGTCTAAATGTTAAAAAATAATCTGTCAAGTTCCATTCTCGGCTACATGTTTTTCTTCTTTTTCTAATTCAGGAAGAAAACTTGGAAAGGTGAAGATTCTCACAAAAGTTCAGATAATCTTTTGGTTTTTATTTTAGACCACCAAGGGGTCAAGAAACAGACCCCAAACTTCCAAAATGCCACAGGATTCCAGTAAGCATTTTATATGCCGGCACAGTCTAACCTCAAAGATAAAGCCCCATCCACTTGAGAGACCATTACCTTCCGAACAAAGTTGACATGGCATTCACCCTTCTGCACAGGTGGAGGGCAGTCTGGGGGCACCCGGTAGTGGGTGTGAGCTTTATTCTGCTGTGCCGCGTACAACACCGCTGACTGAAAATGCAGTTCAATGGAGTTCACCTCTCTGACCACACTGGTAATATCAAAGCTCTAAGTTAGGGGGAAGAAACAGAAAAATGCATGATGTGGAAGTAGTCTTGTGTGTAAGGCAGAAAGTATGAAAGAGGCATAATTCAAATCTAAGTTTGGTCTCCTTGCAGGGGGAAGCACCACTCTGAAATACTATAGCACAACTTTTAGTTGCCCATTTTTAGTTATAACTAAGCATATTTCCCTAACCCAATGCAGATTTCTAGGTTTCTCCCTCTATTTTTCCTGAGAGAATGATGAACCTATGGAAATAGATAGAGCAAAAAATATCTTTAGCACTGGAATGTCTGTTCTGGCTATTTACGAGTGGCCTTGAACAGCCAAGGACTTCTGAGACCCTTCATGACAACCTGACTCTCTGGTATGAACAGCATGTATCTCTAACTCATAAGTTATTTTTGTTTTGAAAAGTCTACCCTTGAAAGGGAAAGGAGATCAAGAGATAATCTCTTAATCTTATTATGCCAGAAAGAAAAAAAAATTTTCTTTTAAAATCATTTGTCGATTGTCATTTTCCATAAAACTCTGGATCACCAAATAGAGAAGGGCTCAGTATTTGTTGAACATTTTCTATGCACCAACAAGTTGCCAAATATCTCATGTAAAAAATCCCCACAATAATCCCATGGGGTTTGTAGTGTTTCCATCATTCTACAAATGCAGCAACTGAGAAATAAAATAACTTATCCAGTGCTTCAAAGAGGTTGTATTTGTCACGTGGCCAATTATGCATTTCCTTTTCTCTACTCGCTAAAACAATTAACATAACCATGCACACCTGATGTCATTATATACTTACATATCTATTGAACATGTTGTCTGTTTCCCCAATAGTGACATTATTGAACAGGATTTTTGAAACTGTATCTATTCCCTCAAAAATCAAATTTATTTTCTGCCATTTGCTAAAAAAAGAAAAGATTTTTTAAACAAGATATATATATTGTTTATATATAAATATATATATTTTAAACATTAACTTAATATAAGTTTTTTTACTAGTTAGGACCTAAAGGAATAAATATTTCACAAAAAATATATATTCCTAAAAGGCAGTTTCCAATAAAATTTTCAGAAGTATTGGTTAATATATGTTTACGTTGTTTGAGTGGTCCAGCTTCTCTCTATACACATCAATAAATCACCATAAAACCAAGAGTACAACTTATAATTTCCAAATATATTGATTTTTTTCTATTTGCTTCACAAAGTTCTTATGAGAACCAAGTTAAACAATAGACACAAAACTTTCCCACAAACGACATTTACTGATGCTAAGTGAACACATTAACCAACTAACTAGTATCTATAAGTGAATATTATGTGGCTAGCACTTTGCCAGGCCTTACAGAAAACTGTAACAATCTCTGAATTTAAGGAGTCTGCAATCTGAACTACAGATTGCTATTCAGAGGTTGTCTCATAATAAGAGACTTAAAGAAGGAAACGAGAACCTTAGGAGGGGAAGGACAAATAAAATGTGTCATATCCATACAATAAAATAACATTCAACAACAAAAAGGAATGAAGTGCTGATAGACGCTAAAACATGAACTTGGAAAACATTACGCTAAGTGAAAGAAGTATGGGACCACAAAGGACCATATATTGCATGACTCGCTGTATTGGAAGGAACCAGAACGAGCAAATCCATAGAGAAAGAAAGTAAGCTAGTGGTTGCCTAGGGCTGGGATAAGAATTGGAGGAAGGAAGGAGTAGAGAATGGGGAATGACTATTAATAGGTATGGCTTTCTTTTGGGGGTAAGAAAAATGTTCTAAAATTTATGGTGGTGATGATTTCACAACTATGTAATATATTAAAAACCACAGAACTGTACACTTTAAATGAGTCAATTGTATGGCACATCAATAAAGTTATAATTTTTTTAAAGTCCGTGTAGTGGCTCACACTTATAATGCCAGCACTTTGGGAGGCTAAGGTGAAAGGATCACTTCAGCTCAGGCATTTGAGATCAACCTGGGCAATATAATAAGACCTCATCTCAACAACAAAAAAATCAAATAATTAGCTGTGTGTGGTGGATCACACTTGTACTCCTAGCTACTTGGGAGACTGAGGCAGGTGCTTAGGAGGTCAAAGCTGCAGTGAGCCGTGGTCATGCCACGGCAATTCAGTCTTAGAGTCTGAAACCTTAACACACACACACACAAAATAGATGCACAGAAATGCCTGATAAGAAGTTAGAGCCTCTAGCCCCCCAAAAAGAGCAGAACCAAAGCAAGGAAGTCCTGACAACATCAATTACTTTAAGGTAAAATACTTGGTTCACATGCATACTCTGGATTGGAGAGCTAAGCAGGAGAAAGCTGGACAAGTCAGTGAGGCGGAAAGGTGAGGACAGTGTTATAGGGAGAGGGAACATAGCAGCATTTTCATAAACAAGCAGAGATGTTTACATTTGACTTGCCAAGCAAAACAAGGACACTTGCTATTCTTTAGCAAAAACATGTCATGGCAAAATCAGTATTTTGGGAAGATGAATCTGATGTTTCTATATAGAAAAAATTGGAAGCCGGGCTCGGTGGTTCAGCCTGTAATCCCGCACCTTTGGGAGGCTGAGGTAAGTGAATTGCCTGAGCCCGCTGGTTCGAGACCCGCCTGGGCAGCGAGACCTCAACTCTACAATAAATCAAAAAATCAGCCGGGCGTGGTAGCGCATGCCTGTAATTCCAGCTACTAGGAAGACTGAGGCGGAATGATCGCCGAAGCCCAGCAGGCGAGGCTGCAGTGGCCAGGAGCGGCCACTGCACTCCAGTCTGGGCGAAAGAGTGAGACTCCAACTCAAAAAAAAAAAAAATTGGAGTATAAAAGGGCAAAGAAAGAAATTTAATTTGGCAGCCTTGGCCTTTTTCCAGGATCTCACCTTCTACGCAAAGGTGGAAAGCTGAAAATGAGAAGGGCCAAATCGAGAGAAATGTTAGGCAAAAATTAGACTCAGAGGCAAACTGAATACAGGAAGACAAGGCAAAAATCCCTCAAGCACAGAAGATTGGAAAACGGTGTTACATTAAAATAAACAATGAGACTGTTAGAATATAAAGTTAGTTTTAAGAGGGAAAGTCAAATGGTTATGTTTTGGATATATTGAGTTCAAGGTGAAATAAGACCATTATGGAAGATATTTTAAGTATTATCTAGAAATAAAAGCCTGGAGCACAATAGTGACTCCATGATAATGAGCACAATATTCTGGCTTTATTTTTCTGGCTTTATTTAAGAGACAAGTACATAATTGTCAAAAAAAATTCATATGAAAGGGACAGGCTGGGTACAGTGGCTCAAACCTGTAATCCCAGCATTTTGAAATGTCAAGATAGGAGGGCTGCTTGAGCCCAGGAGTTCAAGACCAGCCTGGGCAATGTTGCCCAGCCCTTATCTGTATTAAAAAAAAAAAAAAAAAAAGAAGCAAAGAAACCTGAGACCAGGGGTTCTAGACCAACCTGGGCAACTTGGTGAGACTTCATCTCTACAGTAAATAATAATAATAATAATAACAATAATAAGCCAGGCGTGGTAGCACGCACCTGTCGTTACCAGTTACTTGAAAGGCTGAGTTGGAAGGATCACCTAAGTTCAGCAGTTCGAGGCTGCAGAGGCTGTGAGCATGCCACTGCACGCCAGCCTGGGCAACAGAGTGAGACTCCAACTCAAAAAAAAAAAAGAAGAAGCCAAGCCCAGTGACCCACACCTGTAATCCCAGCACTTTGGGAGGAGGAGGTGAGAGGATTGCCTGAGCCCAGGGTTTTGAGACCAGCCTGGGCAACATGGTAAGACTCTGTCTCTAAAACAATTTTTTTTTTTTTTTGAGTTGGAGTCTCACTCAGTCACCCAGACTAGAGTGCAGTGGCCGCTCCAGGTCACTGCAGCCTCGACCTGCTGAGCTCCGGCGATCCTTCCGCCTCAGCCTTCCAAGTAGCTGGAACTACAGGTGTGCGCTACCACACTTGGCTAATTTTTTTTTATTATTTATTCTAGAGATGAGGTCTCGCCAAGTTGCCCAGGCGGGTCTCGAAACCGCGGGCTCAGGCAATCCACTCACTTCAGCCTCCCAAAGCATGGGATTACAGGCTGAGCCACCGAGCCCAGCTTCTACAATAAATTTTTAAAAATTAGCCCGCGTGGTGGCTTGCACCTGTAGTTCCAGTTACTTGGAAGGATCACCTGAGCCCAGCAGATCAAGGCTGCGGTGACCATGAGAGTGCCACTGCACTCCAGCCTGGGTGATGTTGTAAGACTCCGACTCAAAAAAAAAAAACAAACAACTACGCATGGTGGCATGCACCTGAAGTCCCAGTTACTCAGGAGTCTGAGATGGAATGATCACCTAAGCCCAGGAAGTCAAAAGTCTAGTGAGTCATAATTGTGCCACTGTATAACAGAGTCTGGGCAACAGAGTGAGACCCCCAACTCAAAAAAAAGAGAAGAACTTTTTTTTCCATTTAGCAACAGTGATAGTCTACAAACTTGGGTTGCATTCTACCTCATATGGAAATATTTGCTTATAGTAACGTAGAACATTACTGAAAACAATACTGGTGCTTTACCTAATGGCCTCAAGACATCGTGTAAGGCCAAGGTCAGAGTTTCAGTGGCTGATTAGCAACACACAGACCAATGATATAGCTCTGGTTCTACCTAACAATATTACAAATATTATACTCTACTGAGTACTGGGTAATAGGAGGAAAAGAAGAAATAAACTAATAAGAGAATTGACTCGGTCCAGTAGATCCACTGGAAAAAATGACTCCATAAGACACAATTTTGTCACCGATGATCAGTGGCACCATCTTCATATACAAAACAAAACATAAATCACTTATTCACTTTTATAATGCGAGGCTTCAATCTTACTTAATTCGTTGATATGCAACAAAAACAAACAAAAAGATTATTGCTTAGACAGAAAAAGAAAAGTTCAAATAATAATAAATGCATATGCATGCACATACATACCTAGTGTCAAAGGAAATTGTAAATGCCTTGCTATAGGTCCAGTTATCCAAGGAAATCCACCTGTAGTTAAGGTCATTGAATCTGTAGTAAGGATCCTGATGATACAAGGCAAAAATGCAAAAACAAGTCAATGAAATAAATTATTAACCACTATTAATCATCTAAAAATGAATGAATTCTTAGTCTCAGTACAGAGGTCAGATCATTTCTACTAAAAATGTGGGGGGGAAATTTCAACAAATTACCTGAAACAAAAGATTGCTCTGAGATAAATAATATAGTTCCACTACCAAAGAAAATGTGTGGAGATTAAGAATGGTTTCCCTTGTTAAAACCAAACACAGGGCTGACCTCTGTGGCTCAGCCTGTAATCTCAGCACTTTGGGAGGCCGAGGTGAGTGGATTGCGTGAGCCCGCAGGTTCGAGAGCCCGCAGGTTCGAGACCAGCCCGCCAACTTGCTGAGCCCTCATCTCTACAATAAAAATCAAAAATTAGCTGGGCGTGGTAGCGTGCTACTTGGAAGGATCACCAGAGCCTAGCAGGGTGACAGAATGAGACGCCAACTCAAAGCAAACAAACAAAAACAACCAAACACAGAACCTCACCGGTGCTGTATTGGCAGAGAATGAAAGCTTGAACTCCCTGACTTGCAGTTCTCACTCCGCCTTTTGCTGCCACTACCCAGGCTGGCCTCCAGGGGGCATACTTCTTTTCTACTGCCCAAAGGTCCGCAAAACACCTTCCCACTCCTTGGATTCATTTAGAATTTCTAGTTATTTTTCACTTAGCTTTACTAAGTGAGCACAAAAAGGCTCTCTGCAGGAGGTTATTATCTCAAGTGAAATAAGACAAAAAACAAAAGACAAATATTCTCATGTATATGTGTGGGATCTAAAACATTTGAATACATGGAGGTAGAGAGTTGAAAGATGGAGAACAGAGATTGAGAAGGGCGAGCAGGAAGGATGAAGAGAATTGGGTTAAAAGATACAAGCAGTAAGATAGAAGGAATAAATTTGATGTTTGATAGCAGAGTGGGGTGATTATAGTTAAACAAAAATATATTGTAGGGTGTACTGATGGTCACCCTAAATACCCTGACTTGGTCACTACGCATTACATACGTGTACCAATATCTCTCACGTACCCCCATAAATTTGCACACATAAAAGCAAATAAATAAATAAAAGGATCTCTATAGAGAATGCACAGGCAGCAGAGATTCTGTCAAAGTTATAAATTTCAAGTTTCCTGTATTATCCTAGCTCATGTCAGCAAACTGCAACACACAGGCCAAATGCAACTCACTGCCTGTTTTTATATGACCAGCAAGTTAAGTAAGAATGAACATGTGCCCATAAATAAAATTTTATTGGAGCACAGCCATGCCCATTCCTTTACATATTAGATATGGTTGCTTTCATGCTACAGTGACAGAGTTGAACAGACACAACAGAGACCATAGGTCGATAAAGGCTAAAATATTTAGTACCTAGTCCTTTACTGAAAACATTTGCCAACTCCTGCCCAAGATGACTGGCCTACTAGGTGTCCACAGATGTTATTCCATCTGAATGTTCAGCCCCAAGTCCTCCTCTTCATAATACTTAAGTCTTTTTTCTCCTACCTCTTAACCCCTCTTTATCTCCCAGAAAGGTTTCCCAGAAAGGAGGCAAAACAGAAAGTGATAAGACAAGCTTTTCAGTTCATCTATCTGTGAACAATACACAGTGGGAAATTGTGCTGGCCCAGAGGGTCTTTCCTCTTTGTCAGGCTCAGGGTCAAGTCTCATTTTCTTACGGATTACAGCCCCAGGTAGAGAAGGAATAGACAACTTTATCTAAGTTCCACAGAGGTAAAAGCTGGATGACCTCATTAGGCTGATAATGTCTCAAAGAACAAATCTATAAGAGACACTACACTTCACTGCGTGTGTATCAAGTTCAACACAGGTATCTGCCAGAAACTGCTCCTGATTGGAAGGACTATTTCGATAAGGTACTAAAGGAGAGAGTGACTGGGTGAGATTTAATAACAACAGGTGATCACCAAACTGGCTTGTTAGGTCTGGCTAATGGGAAGGTTTTGCTCTGGCAGATGGTTTGTGCCAAATCCAGCCAAGTTTCTTTCCTTTCCTGTTCTTCCCTCACACAGGACTCAGCCTCTCCAGTGAATAAACACAGAATGCATATTTAAGGACATGGGTTTGAAGAAGCATCTAATTATTAGCGTGACCATATCTCTCCACCCAGCCCTTTTTATAACTCTATACTGTGGACTTAGTCCAATACAGTTAAAAATATAATGCATCAACACACTAAGCCCAGGACTGGCTAATGATCTGGCTGGCAGGGGGCGAGTCCACTTCCTTTCTCTGTAAACTGAAGGAAGTAGCAAGTTGGGTATGAAAGGGCATCCTCCCCAGATATATTTTTTTCTACAAAAATAGAATTTACAGGTTAAACTTTTTCTCTTACTTGAAAGAAACCAGTCTGAAACAGCTACACACTGTATGATTTCAACTATACAACATTATGGATGTTAAACAAAAATTATGGGAGCCCATTGTTTTGGACTGAATTCTTGCAATAGACCCCAACAGACCAGACCAAACCAAAATAGAGACACTCTTGCTAAGTACCACATAAACAAACTGAAACTTAAAGAAAGCAGGTAGATATCCAAAAGACCAGTTTTTCCTGAAAATAGGTGATTCCAGTCCACGTGCATAAGGAAATCCTCTCTGCTTTAGCCTTTACAAGAAAAGTAACATGAAGTAATCTGATGTTAATTAATCAGGTCTTTCCTCTGTTCTGTTTCCTTGTCCCCACCTTACAAAACTCAATATTCTGCCATTGCCCAGTGGGAGTCCTCATTCTATTTCATCAATTGGAGGCTGCCTTGATTCATGAACCATGAATAAAAGTCAATTTGATCTTTAGCTAAATTTGTTGTCTCTTCGTCTTTTGACATGAAAAAGGTAAAGCAAAAACAGTAGAAGGGTCAGTGGTTTCCACGGATTAGGGAAGAGGGAAGGATGAATAGGTGCATAAGATTTTTAGGGCCGTGAAACTACTCTGTATGGTACTGTAATGGTGGATACATGCCATTACACATTTGTCCAAACCCACAGAGTGACTCTTAATATGAAGTGTGGAGTTTTGAGTGATAAGGATGTGTCCATGTCAGTTCATCAACTGCAACAAATGGACCGCTTTGACGGGGATGTTGATCATGGGGACACTATGCATTCATGGAAGCAAGAGTTGTAAGAGAACACTCTGTACTTTCTTTCTATTCAATTATGCTGTGAATCCACAACTGCTCTAAAACAAATCCTCTATTAAAATTTCCTATCTTAATAAGCAAAAATGCCTTATCCAAAAAAAGTTGCAGAGGATTCCAAATGCTAAGCCCAACTTAAATAAGTTCCAGATTGGTCTGACTCCCTTTGATCATATTAAAATTTCAGTCCTAAATACAGCAAACAGCAGTTCTGGATTACCCCTCATCACTAAGGACCTATATAAGTCGCTGAGTTGTTAAACAGATGAACCCTAAAACCAGCAACAATATCATTTGTTGACCATTGACTATATATCAGTCTTTAAGGTAGGCACCCATATACTCTTATCTTCATAATAAACATGTACAGTAAATACCATTTTATAGAGGAAGAAACTAAAGCTCCAAAAGGTGAAGTGACTTTCCTGAGGTCCAATGACCCAGCAGAAGTATGTACCCAGGAATGAAACCAACTTAATCCAACACCAAGGTCTGCACTCTTTCGACTATGCTACTATATCTCATGCTGCATATACTTCCACTTTTATACCAGGAGATAACTGCAACAACAATAGTCACAATAACTAAAAGTTTCTGTCTGTGACCTTACTGGATTAGGTACTATTATCATCTCCATTTACTAACAAAAAGTCCAAGGCTCAAAGTCAAAAGGCTATTAAGCAGGAAAGCACTGACTCAGAATCAAGAAATTTGGCTCCAGAGTCCATATGCTTAATCATTGCCTAATATTATATGACCATTACCAACACCATCAATATCAGTGCTACCTACAAAGCAGCAACCACAAGATAAACATGCCATGTGTGTGCCTGAGCTAGTCATTTATAATTGATACTTACCATACTGACTGTACATCAACAAACCATGTGTCATCAGGGCACTTGACAGATGACAGTATCATCAGTCTCATCTCTATAAGCTTCTGGACTCCATCTATTATATCTGATTATAGATACACAGGTTACTTAGCTAGGTAGGGCTTTTCCGCTCCCCAATTCCGCTTCAGTTCAGTGCCTGACTTCACCCCAGACATAACGACCTCAAGTAGAGTTAAGTAGAGAATGTCTTTTTTAATTATTTCATTTATAAGCACTGTTTTCTTAGAAACTTAGGCAAAAATAAGCAAATAAATGTTAAGAAGACATTAATTGAAAACAAGCAAAACTTTGATTAAGATATATAGCTATTTATGTTGGGTGTGGTGATTCATACTTGTAATCTCAACAACTCCAGAGGCTGAGGGTGGAGGACTTCTAGAGGCCAGGAGTTAGAGACTAGCAACATGCAAGATATCCTACTGCCCTTGGCCCATCTCTACAAACAAACAAAAAACATTTTTAAAGGGGCCAGGCATGGTGGCTCATGCCTGTAATCCCAGCACTTTGGGAGGCCAAGGCAGGAAAATTGCTTGAGCCCAGGAGTTCAAGATCAGTCTGTGCAACGTAGTAAGAGCCCATCTCTACAAAAAAAAAAATTAAAGTAAATAAAGATACATAGCTATTTGGGAAAACCCTAACTTGTATAAAACAAGAAAATGGTCATTCACAAAAGTGGTTACCTTTGAGGAGGTAGGCAATGAGATTGAAGAGGGGCAAGGTAACTGCAGTGGTATTGATGACATGCAGGCTCATAAGTTAGATCATGGGTGTACAGGAATTAGCTTAATTATAAGACTTTAAAATTCATAAATGCATAGATGCTTATAACTTTCCATGTCTCAAATACTATATAATAAAAAATAAGAAAAAGAAAATGTTCATGGGAAACTAAGCTATACTAAACAACACAGA